AAAGGAAAAAGAGGGCTGGGAGATGGTTCAGTAGCCTAAGTGCCTGCCTGGCAAGCGCCAAGGACTCTGGTTCGATCCCCAATACTGCATGCCATGTTGGCCCTGGAACCTTGGGTGTGCCCTGCCAGCCACCAAAACCAGGCATAGTGGCACACGCCTGTAATCCCAGCACTAGGGAGGCTGAGACAGGAGGATCACTATGCGTCCAACCTATGTAGCGATACCCTGTACCAAATAAATAAAATATTTTTAAAATTAAAAATATTTAATGATGCTTAGAGTTTCAAAAAAAAATTTAAAAAGAGAATAAATTTCTTGTATTATAAAGGAAAATCTCTCACAGTTCTTCATTTTTAAATCTTTGGGAGTACAGAAGATAATTTTAAGTCAAGATAACAGTTGAAATTTTAATGCTCAGCAAGGTGGTGCCTGCCTGCAGTCCCTGTACTCAGGAGACTAAGGCAGGAGGACTGCGATAAGCTTGAGGCCAGGTGGGCTTCATAGTGAGTTCAAGGCCAGCCTATACTACAGAGTAAGACCCTGTCTCAAAATAAAAACTGAATAAACTGAATATATATCTATATATCTTACATTTTAATCAGGCTTTACCTCATATATATTAGAAATATATATCACTAGCAAAGTAGTAATGACATGAAATTTTATTAACATAAGCAAAAAATGAGCACATCTAAAATAGAAAGTAAATAATAGTATATGGATAATACGTACATGTAGCAAAACTTGTGAAGATGGTATCCAAGTTCCTCATGCTTTTAGAAGCATGAGAATGCAAAATCAGAAACACACATATACATGGCAGAAACTGCCCCAACACACCGGAGCACGTGTAAGTAGGAGAATGTGGAGGTCAGCAGCCTGTCCAGATTATGCTTATTAAATCTACAATTGTTAATGTGAAAACGGCTTTCCCAGCCCCCCAGGCACACGGAGCGGTGCGATTCCCCGCCTTCAGGACTCCTCTCCCTTCCCTCACAAAGTATTCTGGAAGGCAAGCAAGTGGAAAACATTGCTGTAAGGACTTTCGCTCTGTCCTCAGAACCAAGGGAATTTAAAAAAAAAAAAAGTATGTTATTCACAAATGAGTATTTTAACTTTAGCCAACACTTCACAACACACCCTGAAAGTTACTAAACGCCCCTCTTCTCTTCCACACCCAGACTGTGGGACGAGAGCTGCTACTCCATCTAATCGACTACCTCGTAACCAGACATGGCAGAGACTTAGAAGTCACAAGTCTAATCAACAGTACCCGGATACACATTATGCCTTCAATGAACCCAGATGGATTTGAAGCTGTCCGGAAGCCTGACTGTTACTACAGCAATGGAAGGTAAAGATGCCCTGGCCTATCTTTATGGGCGCCTGTGAGCCTGTGTGCTGCCATTAGGCCTGGAGGAGGGAGACAATAATCAAGGCCCTCACACCTGCCCATCTGCTCCCTCCACTACTGTTATCAGTTGCTAACAGAACCACCCAGAATTGGTGATATAACACAACAGCCTTT